GTGTAAATAAAATCATAAACATTCATCTAGAATTTTTGTGACCACATTTGAATTTTCCTTTTTTTTTTTAATTGTGCATCTCAGATGTGCACTGATTGCCATTTGTGTTTCACGTGTTTATATTTCTGTCAGTCCGGGAACTCATTTTCAGCTGAATAGATAGTATTCCTAATTCTTTCCTGAGCTTTAGTTGTTCAGTGTCAGGTTGGATGGGGCTTTGAGCAATCTGTTCTACTGAAAAATATCCCTGACCATAGCATGAGGGTTGGAACTAGATGATTTTTAAAGATCCCTTCCAAAATAAACCATTCTGTGATTTATTCTGTGAACTGAATTAAAGGATGATTTCCACATTTTAGATGTGTGACATTTTCATTGCTCTTGGATGCCTGATCTTTCATCTAGTTACAATGTGAATCTTTAGCAAATGAACTAACTTTTGCAGAGGTTTCCAAACTGCATATTCTATTCCATAAGTGGCTTCCAAATTGTAGTATTATCAACAAGTAATGGAATAAGTTCATGTTGGTGAAGGACATTAAATTCCTTTTAAACACATTAAATCATATTTAATTTGCATGGCTGTAATTGGCATGTGTTCTAAATGTTCATGTGTGAACAAGCAAGCAATCATGTGAGCCCAACCAGGAAAAGTTTTGTTCTGAGGAATGTATTTCTGGAACTGGAATCCTTAAAGAATTATGGCTGAATTTTTTTTTGAGCTTGCTATTACTTGATTACTTTCTGAGGTAATCTAAACTAGAAATCTTATAGAATTATAACATTTAATCAAGATTTTAGAAGCTTTTAAAATACTTGGCCTTCCTTGCTTAATTTCATGAGCTGATTTAGGAGATAAAAAAATTAAATTATATTTTATGATAAAAACATGTATTTGGAAAAAATCAGGAGTGTCATTTTCAATAATACTTTTTCTGATGTATGGCACAGATTGCATATTAATTAGCTATAGATATTGCTATTAAACCTAATGAGTTGCTGTCCTTTTTTCCTCTTTTCCTATGTCTTCCTGTATCTGCAAAACTTTTCATCCTTGGAGATACATAAAAATGAGACATTAGCTAAAGCTTTCTCTCTTAAAAGTCCAATTTAGTTTGCCATGTACTTAGCTTCTCAACCACAGGGATATATATATATGCATATTTTCATATTAAACAAATACATGCATCTCTAAATAACTGATAGATGCATCTTCTTGGTGTACTAATAAGACTGGTTTTTTTTCTCTGTACTGTTTGTTCTCCATATTCTACTATTTTAATTCAAACATTTTCCTTGCTGTACATATTAGAATGAGTGCTTATCAAAGCATAACTTTAACTAATGATACTACAAGTGTCATAAGAAATAATTCAGTTCCTGCTTTAATAAGCAGTGTGTTTAATAAATCCATATAGACTCAGTAGAAATTGCTCATGATTTTGCTCTGGTTATATATCAGTGTGTATATAAACCCAAAGCTTTATGAGGTTTTGCTGTAACTCTTTGCTAATAGCAGTGATCGGGCAAATTAATTTTTATTCCCTATGGAAGATTTTGCTGCTGGGGTCATGCTGCATTAACTGTGATCAAATCTATATTTTGTGGCTATTTGTATTTGTGAAAATAAGTATATGTGAATGAAGTATAAGATCTGACAAAAATAAAGTCTATACACTGACCCATCTGAATTGATTTAATGTGTCTCAGAAAACCTCGAGATACAAAATTGTGCTCAAAATACCTTACAGCCTAAATGAAGCCAGTTACTTCCGATTTAAGATTATATTCCATGCATCTTAAAAGAACTGCTTCATTTGCTCATTACTTTGTCAAATTTTAAGTATTGTTATGAGGAGTGAACATTTATACATCTAATGGTTACCTCAGTTTGTGGAGCTTGGGTTGTTGAGTTTTGAGTAGGATTTTTTTACTTTTTGGTATGGTTTATCTCCAAGAATTGTATTGAGGAAAAAAACTAACCTGGTCTATGTAAAGAAATGTGTTCATCTCTTTTCACTGAAAAGCAGTAATAGTTACGTGATTAAAGAATCAAATGAGATAAAAACTATTTTTCTGACAGAACAGTACCCATTCGTACCTAAGAAAAATAGCCAACCCAAACTATATTACAAATCTTTACATGTTTTAGAAGAAACAATATAGCAAATAAATGAGATTAGCATGGTTAGGAGATTTTTGAGTTTAACAGCTAAATTCTCAGCATAATAGCAAGACTAAGGATGAGCAGACAGGGAAAGGGAAACGTGGAGACAAGTACAGATGCAGTTATGAACATGATACAAAGTTTTGGCAGAAAGACTTTGGAGATTTAGTGGCAGAAAGATTCTCTCCTGGTTCTTGAGAAGACTTATCTAGGCTGACGTAGGCTTGCAGGTTTAAGACAGGCATTTTCAGCTTTTGTCTGTGAGTACTGGCAGAGCCTATGTCTCACCTCCCTTAGCCATGGCTGGTACAAGGATCTCTGTAAGTGCTAGTAAGTGCTTTGTGGGCTCAAGAGACAAAAGCTTGTGCAGGAAATATAAATTTTCCAACCTCTTTGTGATCTGAGTGACTGGTTTCATATGAAGAAATACTTACAGGGTGATTTCCTTGTTTTTTTGTTTTGCTTTTTTTGCTTGTTTATTGTTTGGTTTCTTCTTGTTTGGCTTTAGGGTGTTTTGTTTTTTCTCTTTGTTTGTTCTTTTGTTTGTTTGGGATTTTGTCTGTTTTATTCCATTTTAAAACCTGTGAAAATGCATTTTAAAACTGGATAAGGTAAATTTTTTTGTTGCAAGTGCAACCATTAAACCCAATTGACTAACAAAAGAAATACTAGGTCTGACACTGGATGATAAATACTAGATGATAGTAGTTGATTATAGATGATACTAGTTTAGCTGTGTAACTTTATTTTATCTCACTTATCTGCATGCATAATGTACGTGTTATTTACATCATCACATTTAAGTTTTTGCAAATATTACTAAAGTGTGCTGTGGAGATGAACCTGCTTTCCATGGTGATATCTTCCAATTCCTGTGGTTCTCCTCTCCTTTTTTATTACAAAGCTTGAAATTGTGAATGAAGGAAAAGGAAGGATATCTGGCTAGATGCTTGAAATTAAATTGAGATTTAATTTCTGTTTGAGCCTCTGCCAAAGAATAGCTGTGTGAGAGTGAGATAATAACTTAAACCAAACCTTTCGCAGATGACCTCTGATTAGGTGTTCCTTATTTTGGGCATCAGAGACTGGCCTTTTGGAAATGTGGAGCATTCTTTCTTACAGCAAAAGTCCCTAGAAAGTGTATATGGAGCTACGTAATGCTAAACACTTAGAAAAAGATGGTCTGTAGGCATCCCAAGTGACTTAATCTCTCCTCTGTAAACTGGGATAATACTATATCTTCATTCTTCTTGTGAAGTAAATTATGTATTTGTCAATCTTTTCCATGCTGTAATGATGAACAGTGCAGAAAAACACGTAAGAAAAGTATGATCCTGATTTTAAAGAGAGATAAATTACATGAAGCCATGCCTGAAGTAATGGCAGTAAAACACCTCTCAATGAAGTTCCAGATTGTGAGAAGGAATATTAAATTAGGAATTGTATCATAATGTCTACATAATGGCAGCTGAATTATGACTGTATGACCAACCTTTTACTTCTGAACTCATGAGTGCTTTATTTTGTGGCCTACATATTCTTGTCATAGGGTCTTGCAGCTTTTGGAATTACACAAAACAGTGTGCTCGTTATTAATCTTTCAGATAATTTTTGTCATATTAATTTATTCCTAATGTATGGAGAATAAATAACATATTGAATAAGAGATGTACTGAGACCAATTTTCCCTACAAGAAAGACTTTGGACCTTCAAAGTTTAGTAATATATGTCTGTTCACAAAAGTGCTTTTTTTATTTTTGTGTATATATCCTTCCCTAATATCAATTTTTGCTAAATCTGCAAGGTATTAATTTGCTGGTAGTCTTTATTTACCCTAATTGCACATCAATGCCATTACTACATTTTGAGTTAGAAAGGCTAAGCTTTAATAAAAGACAAAAAAGAGAGAACTTGTGAAAAGCTATATTAAGTTTTAGAAAGTCAAAAGCTTAGTTGTATTAAACATTAAAAAAACTTATTGGAAAATATATTTACATTTATTTATATATGTATATTCATATTTAGCGTGTTACTTTGCAAAGTGCCTTACCTAAAATCTAGAGTTAAATTATTATAAAAATAAAGAAGATATTTCATAGAGAGACATGGAGTCCCTCACTTCTTGATAGCAGTTTGTAATTTTCTTCATCGAATTTAGCTGAGGGTATTCTGTCATTGTGGTTGGGTTTTTTTTGTTTCATGGCTGCATAGGAGTGTTTTAAAAATTTTCTATTCGTTTTATGTTTTTTCAGCTGTCGTGACTGGTTGTCTTGTACCATTCCCCTTGAGTGTATGTGTGTATTTATTATTTTAAAGAATAACATTATATGTCCAGATAGGGGTCCCATTAACTTTTTTTTCACTAGAAATTGGCAAAAATTTGCATTGAAGGGTTTAGCTTCATAAAGGATATTTTGTGTTATTACTGAGTGGTGGTTGCTGGTTCTTCCCTTTTCACCATATTGTGAATTTTTCACCACTTTGCATGACAGAGCAAGAAAACAGCAATGCTCAGCTTCACACTTCATGTTTCTGAGAGGCTTTTGTGTAGTCTATATTTAAAGCAAAAACATAAGAAAACAGACGTAAACACTTACATGATGTGATTATAGGCAGAGGCATGTGATTGTCTCAAATTAAAGTTTTTGTAAAAAGCATGTGAAACTGTTATTTGACTGGAAATTTCAAGGAAGATGGCTTAAAATTTCCTTGCAGCCTTTCCTAACTAGTGGGTCCCCTATAACAGAATCAAATAAAGTTAATTTAGAACATTCTGTTAAAAATAGTTTAAACTTATGGTTTTGTTGGTTTTGTTCTTTTTTCACTGAGCAGTATATTAATCAATCCTGGAAACCACGTCAAGATTCAAGAAGGTACCTTAGGATTCTTCATTGCAAGTGATGCCAAAGAAGTAAAAAGGTAAATCATGTGTTTTTATCTTTAAATTTAAACATATATATTTAATGTCAGTTTGTTTCTTTACATGTAAATGCCTCACTTAATTTGCCCTATTATCTGATTCTCAGGGAGAATTGAGTTGTCACTGTAGTGAACCAAACATATATATATATAAAATTTTCTTAACTAGGGTCCTAAATATCAAGGAAATTAATTTTGTAGCAGATATGAAAAGAAATAAAGAGGCTGGTAGAAGACAGGGATTACAGTTTTGTCTGAATTTCAGGTTTAGACAAGTTCTTATTTACATAGACTTTAACAAATACTTGAGGTAAGCAGGCTACTGTATTCATTCAGTAATTACATTAGCAAAATAATATTTATGTTCTTGTCATTTTTCTTTAATGGAGCTACAAATTCTATGTCCTCATAATAATAAATCAAATTACAACAGTGCACTATATTCCAACCAACTATATTCACAGGCTCATTGTACTTGGCTCTACTAGATTTGGGATGAATGAAAAAGAGTTTTATGGTATTGTGTTTAGGACCAAATGTGTGTATTGTTGTTTGTTAGGATCATTATATGTTTGGAAAGAACAAAGGAGAATTGTGAGAAAATAATTTTTAAAAGGAAGAATTGTTGAATGTCTGTAAGAGTTAAAAAAAAAAGATCAATATTTGCAGCTGAATGCCTCCTCATAATTTGTGTATTTGTTATGTCATGCCATCAAGAATCAGATTTTTACTTGATGTTCTCCATGAGCTTGCTATTTTAACTAAATCCTACACTTAAAATGGTGAAATATTCAAATGATACACTTCATTAAGTTCTAAAATTTTTAGGTTTAAATTACAGTGAAATAAGCAATGCATGTTTGCCATGAATCTTTAAAGAAAGTCAAAACATCAAAACAGTGAAATCAGAGAACTTGAGTTCTGTTTGTGTTGAAAGAGCTAAGATATTTTTTGGCTAGGGTAAAGTATATAGAACAGAACAGCAGTGCTCCTGACCTCTCATATTTCTAGCACCATCTCTGGAGTATGTGCATCCTGCACTGCCTCAGGTGCGCTGCCTTTCAGCATAGAGTTGTTCTCTGGTGCTTTTCACCAGTTGAATACACAGAACTGTTTGCATATTGCTTTACCGAGGTGCTGGTTTTCTTTCATTTATAAGGCACCCTCCAATGGTTTTTTTTTCAGATTGCAAGAAAAATGGCATGATATTTTTAACAGGGAGAAGTTGACTGCGTTTAGGGAAATTTTTCCACATTGTTCATCTGTCATGTTTTATCTAATACCAAGCATGAAACGGGATTTCCAATTCTGCCTGGCTTTTCACAGAAGGCTTGGTTTAGAAACATCCTGCCTCCTTTACCACATTTCTTAGCTGTTCTTTGCAAAGCAAATAGTTATCAGATGTGTTTCAACTAACAAAGCCAATTATGAAAAGTGTTCATTTCATCCTTCTGNAAAAATGTTCTAAAATTGAGGGGGTTTAGAGGGGGAAAAATAAATTTTTAATAAAACAAAATTAAACATGTTATGTACCTGAAATTCAAATTAAATTATTCTGATTTTTTGTTAATGAAGAAATTCCAGCTCTCTTAAGCTAAATCTATTCATATTTCTATATCCCACAATGAAATATAACATATGATGTTCAATTACTCTTCCTGCTAGAATCACTTTTGCATTTTTAGAAAAACAGTTTCCCATTAGAAGCAATCACACCTAGAAGCAATTATGCCTTGGTAAATAGCTTCACATAAAATGTCAAGTGTTTAAATAAAACACAAACTATATGAATTACATCTTTATTATTCTTTATTAATTTAAATGTTAGTACTATGAACAGAAATCCATATGCTTCAAATCCACTTAATTCACTCCAATTATACAGAATGATAATTTTATTACAGCAATCACTTCAAGTATTTGCTCTTGGCTTTGGACATAGGATTGAAGGTACTCTAGGACATTTGTCCTGAAGTGAACTTCAGAAACACGATCTCTAGAAATCACACAGAATCACAGAGAATCAACCAGGTTGGAAAAGACCTCTGAGATCATTGAGTCCAACCCATGACCCAACACCACCCTGTCAACTAGATCGTGGCACTAAGTTCCATATCCAGTCTCTCCTTAAATACCTCCAGGGGCGGTGACACCACCACCTCCCTGGGCATCCCATTCCAATGTCTGATCACTCTCTCTGTAAAGAATTTCTTTCTTATGTCTAACCTTTACCTCCCCTGGCACCTATGTCCGGTGCGTGTCACGAAGTTTTGTGAGGTAATATTTGTGGTAGTTAATTCTTGTTCAATAAAGGGGCTTACAGCTGGACTGGGGAGAAATTGTAAAAATTTGAGGAATTTTTCTCTTCCTGGCTTATTTCTTGGCATCAACCCATGGTTTGAAACATGTTTTATTCTCATTTCCTTGGATGTATTTGTTTACTTTCTGGTGGAATGTGAATATCTTGAAGACCAGAAACTTTCTGCAGCAAAGTATACAAATACTTAGAGAAGGCTTTTTCATTTTACATTTTGCATTTTAGAAATAAGGCAATGTCACAGCCTGAAAGAGTAATCTTCCTGGAATTTTCTTAGAGAAATTAAGTGTGCTACGTTTAGGACTTGTATCTTCCATCAGCAGTTTCATGCTATATTGATTTTAGAAGTGTTAATAACATTCAGTGAGGTTTCACTGCAATTTATATTTGTATTCCCTGGTTCATATCTTGTATGCTAGACCTGCTTTCTTTCTCCTGATGGGCCACTTAACTACCAGGGTCATTTTTCAGAGGTGTAAAATAGCTTAGATAAATTTTTAACTATTTAAATTAGGTATCTAGTTTATATCTCTGATCATTTCCTTTATTATAGTTCTACCTGTGGTGGCCACACTCTACTTAATTTAGAAGAAATAGTAGTGATCATCCTAGCTGCAACGCCAAAGGATGTGTTTAATCAGACTGTGTATTAATATTGTTTATTTTTCTTTTTATATTTTGGACTGTAGATTGTTCTGTTTCAGAGACCTCCCTACTGTTGTAGCAATCCAACCATCCAGTACTGTCAGCAAAAGCTATGGGTGGTCGCAAAGTGGCAGCTTTGCTTCTTACTGCCAAAAATTATATTGAGAAGTATGCAATGAGGGGGGTCGGGATGATAGGCAGGGAGCTGACCCATGCTGAGCATGGACAAATACAGGGAAATAAGCAGGTGAAGGAAGTATGTTTAATTTGTTATGCCAGCAAGAATCCTGCTAAACTGTATCTGTCTAGCTAGAGGCCAGCTGTGTGTGTGATCCTCATGAAATGTGTCATAGCGGCCTTACATGATATGTTGACTTGACAGGCATGATTAAACTCTCCTCTGGGCACTCTTATACATATTTATTAAATTGGAATTTTTTTTTAAATCTTATATAAAGTAAAAAGTTTATCCTTTCCCTCTTTCTTAGTTCTCCTTGTGCTTTACCTACTGGTGAGCCATTTGACAGAAGAGTAGAAGTCCGTGAACAAAAATGTTAAATAGAAACCTAGATAGTTCATCTTGTTAATTGCATATTCTTATTTTAAATTTTTGCTTTTGTCTGTTCAAAACCAAAATGGTTCTTCTTTATTTAGATAGAAGAACAAAATAAATAGAATCGAAGAATCATAGAATGGTTTGAGTTGGAAGGCAACCTTGAAGATCATCTAGTTCCAACTCCCCTATTGTGGGCAGGGACACCTTCAACTAGTCCCAGTTGCTCAAAGCCCCATCCAACCTGGCCTTGAACATCTCCAGGGATGGGGGCATTCACAACTGCCCTGCACAACCTGTTCCAGTGCCTCACCACCCTCACAGTCAAGAATTTTTTCCTAATATCTAATCTAAACCTACTGTTATCAATTTAAACCCATTCCCTCTTGTCCTATCACTACATGCCCTTGTAAATAGTCTTGTCCCATCTTTCCTGTAAGTTCCCTGCAGGTATTGGAAGGCTGCAATTAGGTCACCCCAAAGCCTTCTCCAGGTTGAAAAAACCCAATTCTCTCAGCCTTTCCTCATAGGAGAGGTGCTCCTGATCAATTTGGTGGCCTTCTCTGGACTCGCTAGAACAGGTCAGTGTTCATCCTATGCATGGGGCCCCAGAGCTGGATGCAGTGCTCCAGGCGGGGTCTCACCAGAGTAGAGGGATGGAATCACCTCCCTTGAGCTGCTGGCCATGCTTCTTTTGATGCAGCCCAGCATATGATTGGCTTTCTGGGCTGCAAGTGCACATTGCCAGCTCATGGGCTGCACTTGATCTTTTCATCCTCCAGCCTGGATTGATAGACCCATGTTGTAGACCCTAACCATGAAGTTCCCTTTGTTACCTTCGTCTCTGATTTTTACCCACAGACTTTCTACCTGCTCGTGGCTGTTTTTCAGAGACAACTCTTCACACTTAATCCCTGTCTTGATGTGGAAGGCAACCCTTCCACCTCTCCTTCCTTTC